GACTACCTATGCAGGGTTGTACAGATATCAAGTTGGTGATATTCTGCGGGTGACTGGATTCCATAATGCTGCTCCAACATTCAAGTTCGTGCGGCGAAAGGGCTTATTGCTGGACATATGTACAGAAATGACCACCGAAGAGGCGCTACAGAAGGCTGTGCAGGGTGCAACGGAATTGCTGAAACGCTACGGTGTGATTGTGCAAGATTACACGAGCCATGTTGATGTAGTTACAACACCAGGACATTATGTGATATATTTGGAGCTGACGACGAGAGAGGGATGGGGATTGCCTGGTGCTGATGTGTTGGAAAAGTGTTGTTTTGTGATGGAGGAGGCATTTAACAAAGGGTACAAGTACTTTAGAGTGAGTGGACGAATTGGGCCGTTGGAGATTAGGGCAGTGAGTGATGGTACATTCAAGAAGTTAATGGATTATGCAGTTTCAGGAGGTGCAGCTGTCACTCAGTACAAGGTTCCTAGATGTGTTAAGCTTCCACATATTCTTGAGCTGCTCAATTCGCAGGTGATATCAGCACATTTTAGTCAAGCTTGTCCTCATTGGAGCCCTCAGCAGTCTTGGTAGCGATCTTCTCTAATGCTTGTGCTTCGCTTCTAATAAAATTGTTTTTTCTCGGTAGAAGGGAAAACACAAAACTATTTCATGTTACCAATGGGGGTGTTTGTTTCAAATCCTATAATTTTAGGATATGGATTTTACTATGGGATTTGAAATCCATTGGTTTTTTTAACATGAGTTGGGATTTCTAAAATATTGTTTGTTTCATCAATATTTTGGGATATGTAATCCTACAATTTGTATTTTGTTTGTTTCAAACTCAAATTGTAGCATTAAAAATTTTAGAATTTAAAATCTAGCCTAAATCCTCTCTCAAAGAGGGGATTTCACAAATGCTATAATATATTAGTTTTTTTATTATTTGGGTATTCAATATCATAAAATTTATTTTGAATCAAACAAAGGTTATGAAATCCATAAACTCAAAAAAACCCCTACTTTTTCATCCTAGAATCTGTAATCCATCATATATCCCAAAAAAAAATTGAAACAAACACCCCCTAATAGGAACATAATGAAATAAATATTACAAGGTACATGTGGGTATACTGTATGCCAGAATTGAAGCATGTAGGGAAGTCAAAATAAAATTTAAACTCGTACCTTTTGTGATGCTGGAACGATTAAGTTATTTACAGATAGTATACCATCACTATCATGGCAAGTAGAACATGTATTAATCAAGTGGCACGGCCCCTATTCTGTTCAGTATATTGTCACTTATTCAGCCGTTGCTCTTTTTCTTCCTCGAAATGATTCTTGATCAAAAGTGTTACAGGAGAATGAAGGGTAGGAACCACCGTGCGGCTCCTCTTCTTGAATATAATGAAGAAATTACAGAAACTCAGAAGAATCAGGCAAAACAGGCGGCGGTCGACCGGTCCGGTCGACCGCATTCGTGCACAAAGGTGCGGTCGACCGACGGTTCTCTGGAGTTTGGGTTTTCTACTGAGAGCTGGTCGGTCGACCGGGCCGGTCGACCGGAATTGATCGCGGTCGACCGTGCCGGTCGACCGACGCTGTTTTGGGCTGGGCTTTCAGGTTTTGACCCGTTTCGTTTTGGATTTGTATAAATACCTTTTGGGTGTTTTTTAGGGTAATGTGCAAGGACGAATTTGAGCAGATTGAGAGAGTTTTCATTGGGCTTCTATTCTAGGAGCAATTGGAGAGATTGAGAGTTGATTGTTGAGGGTTTATGAGAGATTTGTAACCCTAGTTTGTTCCTCTTGATTTCTAATAGTGAAAACTCCCCCTTCCTTGCCCCGTGGACGTAGGCATCTCGCCGAACCACGTAAATCGAGTGTTTGATTGTTTGTGCTGTTGATGTTGGTTGGTTCTTTATCTTTCTCGGCGATTGTTTTGGTTTCTCAAGGCACAACAATTGGTATTAGAGCTCGGGCTACGCTTGGGCTATTTTTGGAGGAGTAGATCGCTTTGGAAGTTCACTAGGGCTTCGTTTGGTGATAAAGGTGGGATCTTTTCAGTAAAAATCTCGTCTTTTTCAATTTGGATCTATTTCTCGTTTGTTTCCGCATTGGTTTGGTGGTGCTTTGAGATATATGGCTGAAAAAGATAAAAGTGGGGAGGGTTCTTCTGGTGTGAAGGCCGTCCAAAGTTTGAATATACATTCTATGAAAATAGATGTGGAAAAGTTCAACGGCACAAATAATTTTGGACTTTGGCGATGCGAAGTCATGGATGCGCTAAATGCGCAAAATTTGGAAGATACATTGGAGTTGGACGGGAAACCGGCCGACATTGATGAAAAGGTTTGGAATAAAATGAATAGAACGGCGTGTGGTGTGATTAGGTCTTGCCTTACCCAAGACCTTAAATATGATGTGATGAATGAAACTTCGGCAAAGAAGATTTGGGAGGTCCTAGAGGGCAAATATTTGACGAAGAGCATCGAAAATCGTTTGCATTTGAAGAGGAGGCTTTATCGCTTCCAATTGAAGAAGGGGACATCTATTAGTGATCACATGAACCATTACACGAAGCTACTTGCAGATTTGGCGAATGTAGATGTCAAGGTTGAAGACGAGGACAAGGCATTGTTGTTATTGAGTTCCTTGCCCGACGAGGAATATGAGACCTTCGTCCTCACTCTTATTAATGGGAAGGCATCTCTTTCGTATAGTGAGGTCACCGCAGCCCTTGTGAATTATCAACTTCGAAAGAAGGACAAGGAGACTTCCATCGAGCCGGTTGCTGGTGCATTGGTTGCAAGAGCTAGAAGTCCAAACCGTGGAAGAAGGTCGCAGTCTAGAGGGGGGTATCCTGCAGTTGGTAGGAATCAGTGTGCCTTTTGTAGAGAGGATGGACATTGGAAAGCCGAATGCCCAAAATTGCAAGCTGTGAAGAATAAAGGGAAAGCTACTCAAGCTTCAGAGGTGAATATTGCCAAGGCTAGTGGCGATGTTTCTGATTCAGATTCTTCGGGCTATTCGTGCCCAGCTCTTCCGTCAGTTGATGTTACCGACTCCACCGAGTGGATGTTGGATTCTGGTGCTACTTACCACATATGGGGTAGAAGGGATCGGTTCTCCAGCTTTCAGGAGTTGGAAAGAGGGGATGCTGTTCTCATGGGTAATGATCACAGATGCCCTATTGGTGGTATTGGTACCGTTCGGATTCAGATGAGTAACGGGATGATCCGGGAGTTGGCTGATGTGAGGTTCGTTCCTCAACTGAGGAAGAACATCATTTCACTTGGGGTATTGGAGGCATCAGGCTATAGGGTGATCTTGGCGGATTCTCGCTTGAAGGTCACATCGGGGTCCATAATTGTGATGAAGGGAGTCAGGCGGAGTAACTTGTATTATCTGCTTGGGAGCACGGTAGTTGATAGGGCGTTGACTACTTTTATGACTAGACTGTGGCATTGTTTGGTGCTGGGATATATTGTTGGTTATACCGTGCACAGATTGTTGAGGAGTGCTATGACCTGCAGATTGAAGTCCTGTGAGCACATTGGTATGAGCGAGAAGACCGAGGTGGAGTTCAGCACTTCTATCCATCGATCGAGAGGTCTTATTGGAGGTGTTCAGTCAGGCATTTGAGGGCTTTCCGAGGAGGCATCATCGGGAGGTAATCGTTATTTGGTTTCCTATGTTGGGGATTGTACTAGGCATATTTGGGTTGCAACCAAGTCCCGTTGGTATAAAGTCTTAGTAGTCCGCAACAGTTGGAGGAGGTGTATGGGCAGAAAGGTTACCAGTCGTACTTATTCTAGTAGGAGTCCTTTCTTGCATTGGTGCCGAGCTCACGACAGTTGGAGACACTTTAGAGGGAAGGAGACAGTGGGGCGACGTGATGAGATGGCGGATTTAGTGAGCCGTTCTTTTCTGGAAGAGGATCGGTATTGGTTGTCGAGCAGTGGATCTGGTATTCAGGCTTCGACAGGTTTGGGTCATCTTATGTGGTTGCCGACTGCTGCGTGTAGAGTTGTTAGATCTGGTGGAGCTGTTTCAGATTTTGGTTGGCGTCGGATATTTGGCTACCCAGCACTTGGTCACATCGTTGATGTGAGGTTGGATCCGATTGCGCAGTTGGGATTCAGGAGTTCTTTTGGCTATCAGTGGGGAGCTTCTGAGTTTAGTCTGAGCAGGTTTGTCACTTTGGACTCTCGGCAGGTGGAGAGTATTGATCAGGTCAGAGGGATATCGCAGCGGGTGGAGGTTGATGCTACTCCACATTGGGTGAGGATTTTCTCACATACTCCAGGCCATTCTGCATTGGTTGGGATTCCAGCTGAGGTAGCACAGCGTGGGAGTCATTTATTTATGGGTGCAGATGATGAGGTAGTTGATTTGGATGCAGCTGATGGATATGTTTTGGACACGGCCATTGTTACATCTCAGGTGGAGGTGTTTGGATCGCTTCAGTTTGAGGTCGTTGATGATGCTATCAGCCGCAGGTTGGATTGAGGGCCTTTGGAGGCCCATATGGTGAACTACGTGAAGGTTTGATTCCTTGGGCAAGAGGATACGTAGGCAGGCTTTATGATGCAGCCGATTTGGTGAGCGACATCGACATTTGGGGTGAGTGTTCGCACTCCCATTTGGGTCTCAGCAAGTGAGGCATTTGGTGTAGTCGGTGTAGGCTCAGTTGTTTGGTGAGTAGACACAGTTGGCTTTGGGGTTGAGTGTTAGCACTCCCGTTTTGGATCTCGACGTGTTGTGATTGGAGTCCGTTGTCATGAGTCCGTTGCCATGGCGTACTGGGTGCAGCAGTTGAGGTATTGGTTTGATCGGTGTCGGCTCAGTTTGGTAGAATCTTCGCCGAGGTGGAGAATTGAAGAAATTACAGAAACTCAGAAGAATCAGGCAAAACAGGCGGCGGTCGACCGGTCCGGTTGACCGCATTCGTGCACAAAGCTTACTGTGCGTCAGGAAGGTGGTCGGTCGACCGGTGCGGTCGACCGAGGGGTTCTCTGGAGTTTTGGGTTTTCTGCTGGGAATTGGTCGGTCGACCGGGCCGGTCGACCGGAATTGATCGCGGTCGACCGTGCCGGTCGACCGACGCTGTTTTGGGCTGGGCTTTCAGGTTTTGACCCGTTTCGTTTTGGATTTGTATAAATACCTTTTGGGTGTTTTTTAGGGTAATGTGCAAGGACGAATTTGAGCAGATTGAGAGAGTTTTCTTTGAGCTTCTATTCTAGGAGCAATTGGAGAGATTGAGAGTTGATTGTTGAGGGTTTATGAGAGATTTGTAACCCTAGTTTGTTCCTCTTGATTTCTAATAGTGAAAACTCCCCCTTCCTTGCCCCGTGGACGTAGGCATCTCGCCGAACCACGTAAATCGAGTGTTTGATTGTTTGTGCTGTTGATGTTGGTTGGTTCTTTATCTTTCTCGGCGATTGTTTTGGTTTCTCAAGGCACAACATATAAGAATTTAAAATCATTGGAAAACTTGTGAAAGTTATTAATGGAAATATTCTCAACGGAAATTGAGGGGTGTAACACCTTGATGAGCATATTCCAATCAGATGCAAACACACCACGACTAAACAAACAGTAAAAGATAAGTTCATACAGGAAAAATAAGCAGCATGGCAAATAATGTATTCTTTATACGATGTCACATGATGGGCGAAATGCTCTGATACAATAATGCTTTATATAGAGGAGATAATGGTTCTAAATCGTAGAGAAGATGAAGCTGTGACTA